GCATGACTTCCTCCCTGGAATCGTTGGTCAGTCAGGTCCCTTGCCGCTGTCTTACCTGAATTATGCACTACACAGGGCGCCTGCTCTGAGAATCGGCAAGTTAACTGGAACAGCTTCTCTGCAGAAGGGCTTGTCAACATACACTGTGCTCCTATCTCTGAATTACATCCTGGAGATAATAAACTGAAGTAGGTTAAGAGGAGCTTTGATGCACATCTGACAGATTCACCACAGGTTGAGAACATATGCATTCAACAGGGAAAACTGCATCTATCCTCAAACAGGATGTCACCGTGACACAGCTTTTGAAGGGACAAATTAGGGGCTTATCAACTACATCACAAGAACTGAGACGTGTAGACTAATCTAAAATATTACTTATGCTGGGTGCCAGTGGCTCACACCTGTACTCCTGGCTACTCAAGGCAGAGATCTGAGGATCACCATTCAAAGCCAGCCCAGGCCTTGTTATTGTTTCCTTTCTGTTCAGCTACACACCTGTAATCCCAGAACTCAGGGGCAAAAGCACTAGAATTTCAGTCTTAAGGCCAGACTGGTCTACATAGTGAGGCTCTACTTAAAAATATTTTTAAAGTAAGGGGAAACAAAGGAGGAGGCAACAATGCTTGATAAGAAATGCTCTCATTACCTTGCCCATGTAATTGTAACCCCTCTATACCGTACTTTCACAATAAAAAAAAAATTAAGTAAACGATATATGTCTCCAACCATTTTAGAGAAATCCAAGTTCTGCTGTTCTCTTACAGATGTTAAACATCTTCAAGAGTAAAAACCCGGGCTGGGAAGGTGGCTCAGTGGTAGAGCACTTGCCTTGCATGCCTGAGGCCCTGGGTTCGATTCCTCAGCACCACATAAGCAAAAAGAAAAAAGCCGGAAGTGGCGCTGTGGCTCAAGTGGTAGAGCGCTCAGCCTTGAGCTGAAGAGCTGAGGGACAGTGCCCAGGCCCAGAGTTCAAGCCCCACGACTGGACCAAAAAAAAAAAATTAAGATTTACTTTATGGGCTACAATGTGTCTGTGCAGTAAAGCTCCTTGGACTGAGAACAATGTGCAGTCCCCAGGCATTGAATACTCTGCAGGTGTCCATTTGACCTACGGTGCAATTTAACTCCGTGCTTTTCTTTCTGGATGTTCCCGTTGTTGATGAGAGCCAGGCACGGAAACACCCCACTGTTATCATGTCTGGACCTATCTGTCTCTCCAAGTCCAGCAGTGTTTGTTGAAATGCGTGTACTGACACTCAGTGCATACATAATCATTTAATCTTTCTGATGGATTGTTTTATGTAGTGACCTCCTTTGTATTTTTAACTTTGTCATGTCTACTTTGTCAGAAATGAGTGTGCCTACTCCTGATTTCAGATTCCATTTCCTCAGTATGTCATTTGCCAGGCTTTCGTTTTTAATTTTGAACCCAGGGCCTCGTATTCTCACTCCTTGTTTTCACTCTTAGATGGTACTCTACCACTTGAGCCACACCTCCAGTCCAGCTTTTTTCTGTTTAATTGGAAATAAGTCTTGCCTCACAAACCTTTCTGCTGAGGCTGTCTCTAAACTGCGATCTTCAGATCTCAGCCTCCTGAGTGGTCAGGATTGTGGGCGTGAGCCGTTAGTACCTGCATCATTCACCTTTAACGTCTGTGGATCTTTGCTAGTGAGGCATTCGTGTTGCAGCCAGTGAGCACTTGGGTCCGGTCGTGGGGCCTGAGCTCTGGGCCTGGGCGCTGTCCCTCAGCTCTTCAGCTCAAGGCTAGCTCTCTACCACTTGAGCCACAGCGCCACTTCCGGCTTTTTTCTTTTTGCTTATGTGGTGCTGAGGAATCGAACCCAGGGCCTCATGCATGCAAGGCAAGCGCTCTACCACCGAGCCACCTTCCCAGCTCCGAGCACTTGTGTTTTTAACTCCACTAGCCAGGCATCTTTTCTAGGGAGTGCAGACCACTTACATGGAAGGTTATTGTTGAGAAGTATGTACAGTTCCTGTTTTATTGGTATCTTCTTGTTTGACCCAAAAACTTAATTTTCTCTCTCGTTTCCTAGAAGTTTGCTTGCTTATTAGACTGTGCATTTGATTCCTTCCTGATTCTCACTTATTCATTTGTTGTGATTTTGTTCTTTACTCAGATACGACTTTTTTCTCTCAGTATCATCTGTAATGCTTAGTAGTCATGCATTTCTTTAGTTTGTACTTACCTTAGCATGTCTCCACTGATTTTAAAGAACAAGTCTGCAGGGTAATCATGATTGGCAGTTATTTATTCATGGGGCTTGAAATGTGTCATTTCATGCTTTCCTAGATTAAGTGTTTCTGCTGAGAGATGCGATGTAACTGTTGTCTTCATCTGTAACTTGGTGCTTCTTGAGGCTTTCAATATGCTGTTTGGTATCTTGTTTGTCTGTGGCACTGGGGTTTGAACCCCCAGCCATTCTTTGCTTCCGGAATGTTTCTTACCGATGTTTCACCCGCGTCCAGCTTCAAACTGTGATCCTGCCAGCTGGCAGTACAGGCGTCCACTACCACATGTGGCACTCTTGGCACTTCAACTGCATTGCCTGAGTTCTTTTCCAAACCTACTTAAGAATCTAAACATGTCCTGTACTTTGGGGTCCCTATCTTTCCCTAGACTTACGGGGGTTTTTGTTGTAATCTCACTTAACGGTCTCTGTTACCTCAGCCCGAGTTGTTCCCGCTACCTTTGGATGCTTTGGTTTGGCCTTCTGATTGGGTGTCAGCAATCTTAAAAGTGGGGCGAGGGGTCATGATTTTTTTTTTGTCGGTCTAGGCACTGTTCCTGCACTCTTCAGCTCAAGGCGAGCGCTCTACTGCTTGAGCCACAGCGCCACTTCGGGTTTTCTAGTGGCTTATTGGAGATAAGTCTCACGGACTTTCCTGCCCGGGCTGGCTTTGAACCACGATCCTCAGATCTCAGCCTCCTGAATAGCTAGGATGACAGGCGTGAGCCACCAGCGCCCGGCTTATGATTTTTTTTTTATTGGTCGAGTCTACTGGTAATGATTTCCACTGAGTTTTGTTGTTGTTGTTTTTACTTATTAAGCTTTTCCTTTCTAAGATTTCTGTTTAAGTTTTTCCCTGTTCCTTCCAAATTTCAATGTCTACTATCTCTTGAATTCCTTACTTCACTTATTCGGGGACTTTTTAATCCTCTGAGGTAACCAATCATTTTTAAAACTAATCTTGTGAATTCATTCACACTTTAACCATTTGAACATCTTTAGATTCCATTACTGAGAGAGATCTTATAAACTTTTGGAGGCGTATGTTGACCTTTTTGTTTTCTAGTTTCTGTTTCAATTTGCACTTAAGATAGAACCCTCCTCCAGTTGTATGCAGATCTTCTTAGTGGATAGCCTTCTCTGAAAGTCCCAGCCCCCAATTCCAATCACAGAAGAGAACAGAGGCAAAACAGATGAATGACGAGACAGAGAATATAGGGTTTTTTTAATAAATATTTAAAGTGACAAAGTAAAAAATTAGAACCAAGGAGTAAGCTGAAAAAGAGCTCCCTCCCATCTTTTAGATGTTAAGTTGCAAGACACAGAGAGGCTACCAGTACCTGCCACCTTCTCCTTCAAGGATTAGGAAGATGCAAGGCTCCTTGAAGGAGGTACAGACAAAAAATCAAAGGTGCACCTATCGACCATGTATCAGGATGGCCTGCCGTCTCCCTCTCCCAGAGCCCTTATCTGAAGATTCTAAGCTGCTAGGTGACATATGACATCATGTCACATGTTCCAAACAGTACAAAGCCCACAGATACAATGCCATCTTGAGTCTTCCATTTCCTGTGAAGTAGAATTATTTTTCATCTTTCTCTACTTAATAATTAATAAAAAGAGGATCAGAAGAGGAAAAACGAACATTAAGATGTGGAAAACATATAGGATGAAAGTATAATAACGGGAAGAACAAGTACAGAACAAGGCAGACAATGAACGAGAGGAGAGGAAGAGAAAAGGGGGAGAAGGCAGGAGGAAAGGAGAGAGAAAGGGAGGGCACCGGGCTGTTCAGAATGTCCGGCCACACCCATCTTCAGCTAAGCCATACAAACCATTCTCACATACACCCGGTCTCTCTCTCTTCCCTGGCTTCCCTCTGCAGCTTGGCCAGCACTTGCCACAAAGGAGACCCTAATGAATCATGACGATTCTAAGAATGGCTGCTCACGTCGAGGAGGGGCAGCCTGGGCAGCAGTGATGTATCCAAACACTGCCGTTTACACATGAGATGCTTATCTGAGAGGTCTGGCTGTAAGACCTCTCTCCAGGTGAGCCCATGAGAGCACCAGGGACCAAGCGAGGACGTACAGGGGACGCTCCTCTAGGTCTGTTGGCTCACTGGCACCCACGTCCATCCTGCCTTATTGCCTACTTCTAGAGTATGAGCCTTTTCTCTTCTGCTTGAAGCCCCACTGACGGGAACTCTCCTTTACCCTTCCAATTTGCTTTGCAGCCTAGGGTCCCTGTTTCTTTTACCAACCTAAGGCTTAGTATTTCTGGATTCTACCTGGTCACTACTCAGCGTCACACTCCTGCACCTTTCCTCATGATCCACCTTTCCCTGCAGCCACACACTGATGCTCTATTTTAGACTTGCTGAGACAGAAGTGCTAATTGTCCTAATCTGACATCTTGCTTCTATCCAAACAAATTTCCTTAAAGAAAATTTACTAAAATAATAAGTATTAAGCATTTAAGTGTTCAAAAATGCTGTTAGAAGTACATTATTTTTGAAATATAAATATTGTCACAATTGGATCTTCAAGAAAGCAGTAATGTTAAAAGAAATCTATAAAGTTTAATCTTGACATAAAAATCACTGAAAGATGATTTTAACCCATTTGTTGAGAAATGTATTATACATTATATTAGTTCTCCTGCTAATATAGAAATAATCATTTGATATTAGGCATTTCAGATTATAAATGAGCTGACCTGTTTTCACTGCAAAAATAAGTCAACAATTGAAGACAGAAATATAAATGTTTAATATTTTAAAATATTTTCTGCATAGTTTTCCTAAACTTTGTTAGTACTCTAGTTACAGCCAGAATCACAGCCGTCAGCATATGCTCATGCTCACACTCCCACCGTTACACAACGCACACTCAAACTCACACTCAAACACATCCACTCTCAATTAAGGTCTGAGGGATAAATGAGTCTGAAAACATTCAGAAATTGCCACTACTTTATGTTCACGCTTCCAATGGCATCCACACATTCATATACCAACAGCATACACACTCGCACATGCACACACACAAATACACACTTGTCAAGCTTCCTTTTAAATATGCATATTTAGTTTTTTTCCCTTCCAATTTAACACTGGATACAGGAAATTCTAACAGTCATGAACAAAGACCAAAGTCCCTACTTGTTGCCAAAAAATGTATGTAATGTAGTAAATTTAAGTTGGATGTAAATACACATTACATAAATTTCCTTTATACAAAATCTCTGTAAATATTTTCCCAATGGGGCTGAAGGAATTTGTTTCCTCATATTAAAGTCTTTGCTTATTAAAAAACATATTTAAATAGACCTCCTTACAGATATGTGTCCTCAAAATAACAGCTTAGTCTAGTTCAGCTATTTTCCTAGGGAAACCTCAAGAAAATCAGCTTACTGCAGTTGAAAAGCCTGTTCAGTGACAACTAAAAAATCTAAACACATCCAAAGCAACTGCAAATGAAAATGTATGCTAGTTCAAAAGTGAAGAACTTGGGCAGTTAGCAGAACACAAATCACATTAACAAAGTTCAAGTTTAACCTTTAAACAATTCTAAAGTTTCCTTGTTCCTTTATACTATTTTAAGAAATAAATAATTCAAGCTGAACTATTTGATCATCATAATTTTCTTTTGCTACTCACTCCAAACTTAAGTTCATGTACAAGGCTATAAACCAATGCAGGACATACTCCACTAGAGATACTCCATCGTCCTAAACACGAACAGAAACAATACTGTTCCAATCAGGCACAGTTTTCTTCATTTTATAAACAAGTGCTTCTAACCATAGCTCAACAACCAATTACACTTTAAATTATGGATCTGGAAAATGTTTTAGAGGCACATCGTTAAACTAATACAGTATCAAATTTTTCTTTTCACCAAAGCAGCAAACCATTTTGCTGTTTTTCATCATTGTTTGGTTTTCTTCCTTCTTAAATAGGATTCATAGCAACCCTCAAGTTTTTCTTGAGTGTCAAAAGCCCACACATCTTAACTGCATGAAAATGTAACCTGATCTTGCCAGTAAATGACAGGTAAAGCCGCATCCGAACACCTGCACTAAATTTTAACACTGTTCATTAAGAGCTCCATTTTTCTGAGCTTGCGTTTGCTCGTGGGCATTGGCTTGGGGTACAATCCATTTTTCAGGAGATGTTCCTTGCTGAGGCGGATTTGAGCACCATGCTGAAGCTGGAAAGAGCATAAAGCTTGGAGAGGACGAAGCAAAGTCTGTTAAGAAAAAAAATACTAAAAAAGTAGCCATAACAAATCATAATGTTCCATCTACATTTTTTCTTCAAATAGATGTTTCTTTTAATATCAATATTGTTCAACTGTGAAAAACAGTAAATATTATAAAATTCATGTATTTATTTATAAATTCACAGGTTACACACCTCTGAAGAACTAGCAAAGACATAAATATTAATTTTTCCAAGGAAGTTGGACTGGCAGGAGAACAAAAGGGCTGAGAGCACGGCGCATATTGTAAAGTGCTTGCCCGGCCCTTGCCCTTGGCCCACTCCCCAATACCATTAAGAAGAAAACTGTTGAACACACAACTTGATGCACACTAAATGACAATGCCACCATACAAAGAAAGAAGATCACTCTGAGGCCATGAGGGGCTACATAGGAGAAAGACTGGCTTACAGAATAAAGAAAATTCTCTACAAATATACTCATTTCTAAGATTTTACTTCTAAAGACGGATTTGGGGAAATCATTGTTTTATAAATTCTTTCATCTGCATGTGCCTAGAGACGGTTCCGAGGGGCCACTGGTACCAACCACTGGTGCAAGTAGGACTGAGGTGCTTATCCTGAACATGGCTCAGAACCTGGAAAGTTCCCAAGGTCAATCTTCCCAAGTAGAGGAAGATCTTGCAACATCCTGGTAATTATTACAATACCCTGAATTTTTAAAAATCAACAAATCAAGTCGGGTGCCAATGGCTCATGCCTATAATCCTAGCTATTCAGGAGGCTGAGATCTGAGGATCACAGCTTAAAGCCAACCTGAGCAGGAAAGTCCATGAGACTCTTATCTCCCAAAAAAGAAAAAACACCAGAAAACCCAAAGTGGTCCTATGGCTCAAGTGGTAGAGTGCTAGCCTTGATAGCCTTGAGCTGAAGAGCTGAGGGACAGTGCCCAGGCCTAGAGTTCAAGCCTCCACAATCAACAAAACTAAAACTAAAAATAATAAAAATAAAATAATAAAAATCACCAAATCTGCCCTAGTATCAGTGGCTCACGCCTGGAATCCTAACTACTCAGGAGGCTGAGATCTGAAGAACACAGCTCAAAGTTACAGCACAGGCAGGTAAGTCCATGAGACTCTTATCTCCAGTTAATCACTAAAAAAAAAAAGAAGTGATGCTCTCACTCAACTGGTAAAGTATTAGCTTTGAGCAACAGAAGCTCAAGGACAATGCCCCAATCCTGAGTTCAAGCCTCAGAACCAGAACAAAAAAGATAAAAAAAAAACTCCCAACAAATTTTGGTTTAGAATTTCTTCTACCAATCTACAGGCAAAAATAAAGAATATGAAAACAGGTCAAAGATCAATGCCCTGTGTTGAAAATCATGGCAATGAACACATGTGATCTTAATTTGCAGAGTACTATGAAATAACCATACATACAAACAGTAAAAAAGAAAAAAAAAAGGCCAGGTGTAATGATACATGTAATGATCCATGTAAAGCCAGAGGCTGAGGGAGAGAAACAGGAAGCTGAGGCCAGACTTGGGTAAAGGGTAAGTTCAAAGCCATGAGTCCTTGATTCAAAAAAAAAAAAAAAAAAAAACAAGGCCTGGGACAGCTCAACAGTAGAGCACTTGCCCAGCAGGTACAAGGCCCTGGGACGCATCTCCCACAGCTCAAAAAGAAAAGGTACAGGGGCCACAGTGCTGACAGGAAGTGATCAAGGCACAATTCAAACCTACAACTCCTATCATGTTCCTTCCAGGGAGCTAAACTTGTGCTCTATGCCACAAAAAAACTGGTGTAGAGCAAATGAGGAGGATGAATCAAAAGACTAGTAAGACTACTACGTGCTAAGTTCTGTGTTTTGGGAAGTTCTATGTCTATAGACTGCAGCTGTAAAAATGTGTTGCTCTCATCCGTCATCTGAAGGTTTTTTTATAAGGTTACTGGGTAGAATGTACACTGTAGCTTCCCTCTTTAGGAAGGAAAAAAAAAAACAACTTATTGTTAAACCAATTGTGTTCCCCAGAGAAACATGCCCATGTTTTTATTACAACTAGATTTTTAACAGGTTGGACTAAGAAAGCCGATTTTACCCCTGCTTTCACTATATTTGATGTCAGTATAACTTGTGGAGGAGATGGGGAAAAACAAGTCGTTTAAGGATACAGGTGGACCTATTGCAACAATGAGAAGTACAAGTTGTCATGTCCAAAACGAGCTTTACAACGTCAGTGCGGGGGGAGAGGGGGGAG